CAGAATAGGATGGTATTTACTGGATTTTTGGATTCTTCATTGTTCTTGTTTCTACTGTTGTAATAATAAATTACCATAAAGTTAATAGCTTAAAGCAGAACAAATGTATTATCTTAGGGACCTGGGTATATGACTCAGTGGTAAAGTACTTGCCTTCCAGTAGCCAGATCTGGCCTCCCTGGTGCCAGACGAAGAGTTTGATCACAGGTACACTGCAACAAAGTGTGTGTGTGTGTGTGTGTGTGTGTGTGTGTGCGCGCGTCCGCAACACCTTTGGGTGCACTGCAACAAAGTGTGTGTATGTGTGTGTATAACAGCTTTGGGTGCATTGCAACAAAGTATTGTGTGTGTGTGTGCGCGCGCGTGCGCGCGTGTGCGCGTGTGGCAACAACAAAAGGAAGGGAAAAGGGGCAAAGAAGTCGTTTTTAAAGAAAAGACATGGCCGTGGGGGAAAAAAGAGAAACGGGGGACACTGGTGGTGGGAAGAGTGATGGTTCACTGGTGAAGGGATGGGTGTTGGAACATTGACTGAAACCCAATCATCAATAACTTTGTAACTTTCTCTCAGGGTGATTCAATTAAAAAATAAATAAAAAGATACCAGAAACAATTACTATTATACAGTTCTGTAGTTGGTTCAGAATCTGGCCTGAGTTTCACTGGGCTGAAAATGAGGTGTATTCTGTGCCTCATCCCCTTCGGAGTGCCAGGGTTGAATCTGCTTCTCTGTGTGGTGAGACTCCTCATGCACCCATACTCCTTTCACTTTTTTTTCCTTAAATTTTTATTAATGAAACACCAGGAGGTACAGTTGTAGAATTTACAAATTTTTGTGCTTGGGTTTCAGTCATACAATGATCGAGTACCCATCCCTCCACCAGTGCCCATTTCCCACCACCACGGATCCCAGTATCCCTCCCACCCCCCATCCCCCCCATCCCACCCTGCCTCTGTGGCAGGGCATTCCCTTTTGTTATCTCTCTCCTTTTGAGTGCTGTGGTTTGCAAAAGAGACATTGAGTGGCAATCTTGTTCAGACTATAGTCTACTCTCATCACACATTTCCCATCCTGAGAGGAACATCCCAACACCCTTTATTTGTTGCTCCCTTCTCTATCTGAGCTGCCTTTTCCCCTAGAGTGTGCGGCTATCCTCAAAGTCACATCTGGGGAACACTCCTTTCACTTTATTTTTATTTATTTATTTTTTTTATTAGTGAAGCACCATGGGGTACAGTTGTAGATTTACAAATCTTTGTGCTTGGGTTTCAGTCATACAATGATCAAATACCCATCCCTCCACCAGTGCCCATTTTCCACCACCATGGATACTATCCCCCCCTCCCACCCTGCCTCTGTGGCAGGGCATTCCCTTTTGTTCTCTCTCTCCTTTTGGGTGTTGTGGTCTGCAAAAGAGGCATTGAGTGGCAAACATGTTCAGTCCATAGTCTACTTTCAACATGCATCTCCCCTCCTGGGAGGATCCTCCAAACACCCTTTATTTGGTGCTCCCTTCTCTATCTTGAACTGCCCTTTCCCCTAGAATACCCGGCTGGGCTCTAAGCTATAGAGTAATCCTCCTGGTGTTGATCTCAGCTATTCTTGGGTATTAATCTCATATTTTGTTACTTTATATCCCCCAGATGAATGCAATCTTTCTATGTCTATCCCTCTCTTTCTGACTCATTTCGCTTAGCATGATACTTTCCATGTTGTACCACTTGTATGTAAATTTCATGACTTCATCTTTTCTTTTTTTTTCTTTTTTCTTAGAAAGGATTTTATTTTTTTTTATTTATTTTTTTTTTTTTGTGAAACACCATGAGGTACAGTTGTAGATTTACAATTTTTTGTGCTTGGGTTTGATTATACAATGATCAGATACCCATCCCTCCACCAGTGCCCATTTTCCACCACCATGGATAATATCCCCCCCACCCCCATCCCCCTATCCCCCCCTGTCTCTGTGGCAGGGCAATCCCCTGTGTTCTCTCTCTCCTTTTGGGTGTTGTGGTCTGCAAAAGAGGCATTGAGTGGCAAACATGTTCAGTCCATAGTCCACTTTCGACATGCATCTCCCCTCCCTCCTGGGAGGGACCTCCAAACACCCTTTATTTGGTGTTCCCTTCTCTATCTGAGTTGCCCTTTCCTCTAGAATGCCCAGCTGGCCACTAAGCTATGGAGTAATCATCCTGGTGCTGATCTCAGCTATTCTTGGGTATTAATCTCATATTTTGTTACTTTATATCCCCCAGATGAATGCAATCTTTCTATGTCTATCCCTCTCTTTCTGACTCATTTCGCTTAGCATGATACTTTCCATGTTGTACCACTTGTATGTAAATTTTATGACTTCATCTTTTCTAAGAGCTACATAGTACTCCATTGTGTAGATGTACCAGAGTTTCTTTAACCAGTCATCTATTCTTGGGCACTCAGGTTTCTTCCAGTTTCTGGCTACTGTAAAGAGTGCTGCAATGAACAAACAAGTGCAGATGTCACTTCGACTACACATTTTTGCCTCTCTGGGATATATTCCCAGGAGTGGTATTGCTGGGTCAAATGGGAGCTCAATTTCTAATTTTTTGAGAATCGTCCATACTGTTTTCCAAAAGGGCTGAACCAGTCGGCATTCCCACCAACAGTGAAGGAGTGTTCCTTTCTCGCCACATCCGCGCCAGCAACGGTTGCTTTTGTTCTTTTGAATGTGGGCCAGCCTCTGAGGTGTGAGATGGTATCTCATTGTGGTTTTGATCTGCATCTCCCTGATGATTAATGATGTAGAGCATTTTCTCATGTGCTTTTTTGCCATTCGGATTTCTTCTTTGAGAAAGTTTCTGTTCATTTCATTGCCCCATTTTTTGATGGGGTTGGATGTTTTCTTCTTGTGGAGTTCAACCAGTATTTTGTATATCTTTGATATCAACCCCTTGTCAGATGTGTATTCGGCGAATATCCTTTCCCATTCTGTAGACTGTCTTTGTATTTTGGTCACTGTTTCTTTGGAGGTGCAGAAGCTTCTTAGTTTAAGATAGTCCCATTTATCTATCTCTGTTTTCACTTGCTCGGCCAGTGGCGTGGCATCTTTGAAAATACCATTAGCCTCAATGTCATGGAGGGTTTTGCCAACTTTGTCTTCAATGTACCTTATCGTGCCTGGTCTGATGTTGAGGTCTTTAATCCATTTTGATCTTACTTTTGTACATGGTGTTAGGCAGAGTTCTGAGCCCATTTTTTTGCATGTAGTCGTCCAGTGATGCCAGCACAGTTTGTTAAAGAGGATTTCCTTACTCCACTTCACATTTCTTGCTCCTTTATCAAAGATTAGATGATCATATGATTGAGGGGAGATGTCAGTGTATTCAACCCTGTTCCATTGGTCTGCAGTTCTGCCTTTGTTCCAGTACCATGCTGTTTTAATTATTACTGCTTTGTAGTACAGTTTGAATTTAGGGAGGTTGATTCCTCCCATTTCCCCCCCCCCCCAAGAATTGCTTTAGCTATTCGCGGGGGCTTATTGTTCCATATAAATTTCAACACTCCTTTCACTTTAAAGACAGCAGCTCACATGTCTCAGATCCTTCCTCCAGCCACACGTCTTTCTGTCTTCCTTCTCACTCCTGCACTTTTGAGAATAGCTGAGATTGGAAGGGGTGGTGCTTGGGAGGAGGCCATAAATAATGCCAGGACTGCACCTGAGGTAAGTGCCTTGTCCTCTTGTTCCATCTCTCCTGTCAGTGATTACATTGATCTGAACCAGAGAATCTGGGATAATGTTCCTAGTTTCAAGCCAGCTAATTAGTGATCTTAATTCCACTTGCCATGGAACAATAAGTCCTGGGGATTAGACCGTGGGAGTCTTTGGGGACTATCCTCTTTCCTCCACAATTCAATTATTTTACAATCTTCTGGAAAGTCATTAGGTGTTAAGTATCAAAATAAGAAAATCAATTTAATGTCTCTTTTGATGTGGGGGTGAAAAAGCATCTATGCATAGAGTAAATGAACGCTATATGCCATAAAAAGTCATGCCAGGGGTTGGAGAGATAGTATGGGGTAGGGAGTTTGCCTTGCATGAACCTGACCCAGGTTCTATCACTGATCTCATATGCTTCCCTGAGCTCTACCAAGAGTGATCCCTAAGCACAAAGCCAGGACTTAATCTGAGCACCACAAACAAAAAGAAAACAAACAAAACAGGCCAGCGGGGGTGTCATGGAGGACTGACCATTTCATAGGAAGTTTTAAAAGAATGTGCACAAAAGGATGCGAATGATATCAAATCCAAACCCAGGACAAACCTGCAAGCAAGTAAATAAAAAATGCTGGGAAACCCGTAGATAAAAATGTTTCCACGGTTTTCTGGAGGTGATTTGATTCCCTTAAGTTTAGATCCTTCCCTAGAAGGCACTCAACTCTACACGCCTTCTTTTGCTAAAGTGGGAGCGCGTTTTTTCTCTCTGCAGAGAGAAAGGTGGTGAGTGCGTCCACCCAGGGCGTCCCGTGGGCATTGCTTTTGGGGGCCCCTTCACTCTGCACCCCAAGCCTCTAGTCCCGGAGGGTCAGGCCTGCCACTCTGCTGCAGATGCTGCCGGAAACGTTTTTCGGGGTGATGCCCCCGCGAGGACTGGGAACCTCGGAAACTGGGTGCACAACAATGTGCGGGCGTTTCCCAACCGCGCAGGCAGCAACAAATTTTTCGTGAGCAGCGTTAAAGAGCCAAGAACTGGTCACTGCGTCACCACCCCCGTGCGCCCGAGCGAATCGCGAGCACAACGGGGTGGCTCGAGGCTGCAACATCGGTACCAGCGCCCCCGGTCCTTGCCCGGCTCCTCCCTCAGGCCCTGAGCCCTTGGACCAGCGCCGCTGATGCTGGGGCCGGCCCACATCCTCGTCAGACTTCGGTCCGAGCCCGGACCGCGCCAGCGGCCTCCGACCACCGAGAGGAGCGCCTAGAGCGCCCGGGCTCGCCCGCCCTGCCCGGCGCGCCGCGCCGCTCCGCCCTGCCGCTCTATCCCGGAAGTTAGTGTCGCCAGCTGGGCGCGCGGCGGCGGTGTCGGCGGCGGCGGCGTTTCTCATCTCTGTGGGCTGCGGAGCTCGCGAAAGGACAAACATGCCTGTGAGCCATTTGCTCTCGGGCTTTCGGCCCGTTTCGTGCGCCTCCGTTTGTCGAGGGGGCGGGGAGGAGGGTATTTTTGGGGCCTGTTTTTTCCCGGCGTCTGCGCGGACCCACGGGGAGCCCCGCGCGGAGGGCGCGGCTTTTCCCCTCGGCCGACTTGCCGGGACTTGCCCGCCGCGTGGCGTGTGTGGCCGGGAGCCGGCCAGCGCCGGGAGCCCGCGCCCCGCGGGGCGTTGACTTGGCCGACGGAGGTCTGGGTGGCCTCCGAGGAGCCCGTCCGTTGCGGGCGTCTCTCCCGTTTCCCCTCGTCCCCCCACGCCGCGTGCGTGTCCTCCTTCCCGCTGAGAAACGGCCGGCCCGTCCGGAACAGATGGCGGGGCGGGGCCGGAGTCGCCGGGCCAGTCTCTGCTCGGCCCCCGTGGCGGGCGCAGTCTCGTTTCTCTTGCAGACATGAGGTGGCCGGGACGGCGTCAGCCGCCCCCCCCCCCAACCCCCCCTCAGAGCTCGGTCCCGTCCCCGAGCGCCCGGGGTGGGGGTGGGGCAGGGGAAACTGACGCTTGTGCAGCGCCGCCGGGAGCAAGGGTGGACCTGGTGTGTGTGTGGGGGGGGAGGGAGTGGGTGGCGGCAGAAGTGACCCCGGGCCGGGTCCCACTCCCCCCAGCCGTGCCAGTTACTCGCTGCCTCCACGCACGCTGTTTTGCTCCCGTTGCTGACGGGGCCAGCGGCGCCGGGGTCGGCCTTACCGTGGCCGGGGTCGGCCTTACCGTGGCCGGGCGCCGGGTGGGAGGCGCGGACACGTGCTGCAGGTCCGCTGCAGGGGTGGGTTTGGTTTTTCTCCTTCCTGGTTCTGATCGTGGCGCCGCTGCTTTGCTTCTTCGTCCAGCTGGCCAAAGATCTCCTGCATCCCTCCCTGGAGGACGAGAAGAAGAAGCATAAGAAGAAGCGGCTGGTTCAGAGTCCCAACTCCTACTTTATGGACGTCAAATGTCCAGGTAAATGAGCCGATCTTGATTGCCTCCCTCTCGAGAGGGAAGCTGTCGTGGGCAGCGAGTTTTCCGCTGAGAAGATTAAAATTGCCGGGACCCTCCCATTCCGCGGACTAGGACTCCCCCCCATCCCCTGCACCACCACCACCACCACCATTACCAAGGAACAGCTTCAGAGTGCATGCCGACATTTGGGGGCTGTCGGGGGGGGGGGGGGGCGGCAGTTTAGCCAGGCATCCCTGTACCACTTGCCCCCCAAAGTGTGCAGGTGGGCTGGCAATCTCCCTGGTAAAAAGAGGCTGGATGCGTTTCTTGTTGAAATGATGTTCTGGGGACACCAAGTTTGATGGAGCAGTATGAATATCTCCTCTCTCAGACCAGTTTTGTGTGTGGCTGTCAGAAGTGAGTTGCACGTGTGGCATGTGCGGGGCAGAACTGAGGTTCTTGATCTTTCATAGGGTCTTCCCTCGGCGTTTGGTGAGAAGGGAGTTTTCTTCTGCTTCTAATCACTGCCCTTTCCTTAGGTTGCTACAAGATCACCACGGTCTTCAGCCATGCCCAGACGGTGGTTCTCTGTGTTGGCTGTTCCACAGTGTTGTGTCAGCCCACAGGAGGGAAGGCCAGACTGACAGAAGGTACATCGCCTGACGCTTCCTTACCCCAGCCTTGACAGTTTGTAAAAGTCATCTCAAGTTCATGCTGAGCAAAATTATGTGCTCTTTTGGTAAAATATGCCACAGGTGTTTTGTTTAGCTAATATTTAGTACGTTATCTTTATCGCTGGGAGCTAAACAAGAGATAAGTCGTTTATAAACTTCAAATTCCAGAGGATCAGTGTGAGCATCCTTAACCATCATTAATCATATTTAATGGTTAATATAACTTTTTTATATTGAAATATATTTTACATTAAAAGTGTAATTTTAGGAGAGCTGGAAAGATAGTACAGAGGGTAAGGCACTTGCCTTATTCACAAGTGTCCCTGGTTCAATCCTTGTCCCCACATGTGGTTCCCCCAAAGTACTGTTACTTACCCAACTCAAACCCCAAGTTCTAAGCACACCTAGGTTTGGCCCAGTGACCCCTTTACTCTGACAGAAAAAAAAAAGAAACACAACCAATTTTGTTTTTACTTTTTCCTAGTAATAAAAAAGAATGTTTATGTAGTATAGTACTTATAGATTTGGAGCACCATAATTATTTGTTGCGTTTTGGGATTTTATTGTTACTGGTTTGATTGTGATGTCAGGGATCAAATCTGGGACATCAAGTACGTGCTCTGTCACTGATGCACATCCCTGGCTCTATAATTGTGATACTTGCATTTTGTTTCTGTCTTTTGGGGACTTGTGAATTCCATGTATTCTCACTAGAAGAGTTGCAAGTGGATTGGCACTGAATGCAGTGGTATGACTGCATTTTTCTGTGTGGTATGACTTGATTAGATCTAAGCATGAAATCAGCATACGGTATAAATATTGGAGGATTGCTCCTAAAAGTATACCTGCAAGATTTCCAAAACCTTTGTAATGGTCCTTATTAAAATACAGTTTTTGGGTTTTTTGTTTTTGTTTTATTTTTAGCTTTTTGGGTCACACTTAGAGGATTATTCAGGGGTTACTCCTGGCTCTGCACTCAGGGATCACTCCTGACGGTGCGCCGGGGGACCATATGGGGTGCTGGAGTTTGAACCCTGGTCAGCCGCATACAAGGCAAATGCACTCCGGTCCTTTGTTTTTGTTTTTGGGGTTTTTTTTTTGCTTCTCCTTTGACACGGATTAAATCCAGAGTTCCTGAAACATGAGAGGCATGTTTTCTACTGTTGAGATACATCCTTGACCCCCATGACTCAAGTTTTGACTGTTGAATTCAGTTTTACGATTAGCATTGAGAAACAGGAATTAGAGTTAACAGTCACTTCAGAGCAGATTCAAATAGAAAAGGTGTGGTATAGTATTGTATGTCCTTCTGTTGTTCATTGATTTGCTCAAGCAGGCCCAGTAATGTCTCCATTATGAGACTTCTTGTTACTGTGTTTGGCATATTGAATACTCTCGGTAGCTTGCCAGGCTGTCCGAGAGGGGCGGAGGAATCGAACCTGGCTCGGCCAGGCTGGCTGCACGCAAGGCAAACGCCCTACCGCTGTGCTATCACTCTAGCCCCTCGGCCTTTTGGCTAAGATCAAGTGTAGTGGTATAGTATATTCTGTTATAAAGGAATAACTTGTGTGTTTTAAGATTAATTCAGCGTTCCTAAACCTTTAAGAAATTTAAACAAAAGAGTATTGTTTTGCCATTAAAACTTGTGTCAAGGAGAATAGACTTAACATTAAAAATATTCTCACGATTCTTTTGCAGGATGTTCATTTAGAAGAAAGCAACACTAATGACCTGCACAACTTAAATTTGTGTTATGCCCCAGAAAGCCTTATCAGTTCAGTAATTCTAGTTAATCTACTGAGATAATGTAATTACGTTCAATTTTGTAAGGTATACCACAGTGATCTCCTATTTTGGTGTCAGTTTTTCAATAAAGTTTTGATTATCGACAAATTTCCCTCTTTTGCCTTTTTGTGTTTTAAGTGCTTGTGAATATTCTCTACAATTATGTGTACTATGAGTATCTTTGGTTTAAACATTTTTGGAAAGTACTTGTATCTCATTTCAATTGTAGAAACTTAAATATTTAATTTTCAGACCTTCTAATTTTTATGAATGAAGCTAAATATTTACAATGGAAAGAAATATATTTATTAATTCTAAGTATGGTTTTGCTCTTGTAACTACAGAAACATAACTAGAGAAGTACATATTTAGTGAGTGACGATCACAGTGCAGTGTCTTTGTGGTTTATATGACTTTAATCCACTGCATAGTTTAGGACAGTAACTGGAGCTCGTCTCTGAGTTGTTATGAAGGAGAAGCTTTGAGAGGACCTAGGTCATGTGGAGTTAACAGCCTTATTTACTCCAGGCTGTCCTCACTGGAGTCTTATGTGTGTGGGTGTTCCTGATCTGGAAAGGTGAACACTCCTGGCACAGACCTGTGTTAATGTGATCCTGGTATCAGTGTTCTTTTTACAGTTTATCGAGTGACCTTTGAGAGTTCAGAAGTGGAGTGTCTTTTCCGCTTTGGCCATTATAATCCGCTTCACTGGACTATGAAAACAAGTGCTTCTGTTTTACTTGGAATCATTTTTAAGGCAGACATTTAAAGATAGTTCCTGTTGAGAGATTTTCTACATGTTATTCTTTAAAAAAAAACAAAACAAAAAACAGACTCTTGGATCTTTGCTCAGGGATCACTCCTGTGGGGTTCACGAGAGCATCTGGGGTGCTGGGGATTGAACTCCGGTTGGCTGTGTGCAAGGCAAATGTCCTACCCACCTGATTTGTGTGTTAGAGAAATAGTACACAAGAACTGAAGAAACTATGGAAAGTGTTGGACAGATTTCATACCCAGAGAAGTAAATGATCCAGATGTTCCCAGACTTTCTTGGTTTATGTCATCTTTAAGAGTCTCAATAAATATCTTTACAGTCCTGTGTAAATTTATAACTAGTTATAAATGTTCTAATAACGTCAGTAGCAATTAAAAAAATTTTTTTTAAAAAGGGGCTGGAGTGATAGCATAGCGGGTAGGGCGCTTGCTTTGCACGCGGCCAACCCAGGTTTGATTCCCAGCATTCCATATGGTCCTCTGAGCACTACCAGGAGTAATTCCTGAGTGCATGAACCAGGAGTAACCCCTGTGTATCGCTGGGTGTGACCCAATAAAGCAAAAAAAAAGAACAAATATCCCCACACCTGGGCTGTAGCCATAGTACAGGAGGAAGGGCTCTTATCCCTGGCATCCCATATGCTCTCTGACATTCCATATGGGCCTGTCAGAAGTGATTTCTGAGCACCACTGGATGTCTGCCCCTCTGCCCCCACAAAAACCAAAAATAAATCTATATCTGTAAATAGAATGATTCTGTCACTAACCACTGTTGGTAAAGTAACGGGTATACCTTTGAGAGTTATTGCATGATTGCTCAAAATTGGAGTCAGATCGAATTCTGCCAGACCTCATTTCTTCCATGTTGATTTTTGCTTGAACACTTTTTGTCACACAGTGGTTCAGCTTTATAGAGAATGTGATACCTTGTATAGTAAGAGAACTACCTGGAATTCTAAGTGTATGGTACTCAACAGATGTACCAATCAGTGTTTCTGGGCCTGAGTGATAGCCTCTGATCCAGGTTCCATCCCTGGTTGAATCACATGGTCCCCTGGAGCCCCACCAAGGAGTGACCCCTGAGCGCAGGAGTAAGCCCGAGCCCTGCCAGGTGTTAAGTATGGTGAGACATCATCCTACAGTGTGAAATTGGGTAGTTGTTAAAATAGACTAGATTGGGGCCATGCTACTGGTCAGGGCACATGCTAAGCTTATCTCCCCTGTGTTTTATCCCTGGCACCACATGGTGTCACACATTGCTTCACTGGGTGTAACCCTGAAGACCTAGGAAATGTGGATGACTTGTGTTTCAGGCACTGAAGGGCCCAAATAGTACTGCATCCTCAATACTGAAGTACTGACTAGTTGGCATGTGTATATAGAATTGCGTGGTATTGCAGGGAGGAGTTCCTTGGGCCTCATGAGTACTGCTTGGGGACCCCTCCAAAATAAAAACCTGTATCTTATTAGTGACCATATCACAAAACTTAACTTTTAAAAGTGTTGAGAACACATATACTATGGTACTTTGTATAAATATAAATAATACAAATTAAAACACACTCTAGCTCAGGAAGCAACATGGTACAGCTCAGGAAAATATTCAACTAGTGGGAGAACTTAACTACTGACAGTGGAAGGTGAGGAGAGAAACTTTTGCTTTGCTTTGCTTGTTGTGCCAGGGATTGAACTCAGGGCTGTGTGCATATAACATCTCTGGTCTGTTTTACTTGTTTATTTTTTTTGAAGAGGTTATACCCTGTGATGCTCAGGGATTCCCTCGGTGATAAATGCAGAACCACATAATGTGAGAGATCAAATCCTCAATTCCAGGGTTCTTTTTTTTGTTTGTTTTGTTTTTGTTTTTTGGGTCATACTTGGGGCATTTGCCTTGCACACAGCTGGCCCAGGTTTGATTCCTCATCTCTCTTGGAGAGCCCAGCAAACTACCAAGAGTATCTCATCCATGCGGCAGAGCCTGGCAAGCTCCCCGTGTCGTATTCGATATGCCAAAAACAGTAGCAACAAGTCTCACAATGGAAACATTACTGGTGCCCGCTCGAGCAAATCAATGAACAACGGGAGGACAGTGCTACAGTGCTAATGAAGCTCAGGAGTCACTCCTGGCTCTGCACTCAGGAATTACCCCTGGTGGTGCTTGGGAGCCATATGGGATGCCTAGGATGGAACCCCAGTTAGCTGTGTTATTATTTTTTGCTTTTTGGGTCACACCCAGAGATGCACAGGGGTTACCCCTGGCTCTTCACTCAGGAATTACTCCTGGCCATGCTCAGGGGACCATATGGGATTTGGGAATTAAACCCAGGCCGGTCATGTGCAAGGCAGACGCCCTACGCTATCACTATCGCTCCAGCCCCATTTTTTAAGGAAAAAATTTTACTAAAGTCAACATTTTGGGTTCTGTGTATTTGGATTGTATAGGCAGTAGCCAGTTGTATCTTTCATATTTACTAACTTTCTGTTTTAGTTCAAGCAGCTTTTCTGTAACCACTAATCACCTTGATAGTTGCAAATTCCAAGGGAAGAAAAAAAAAACCACCAAGTTTTCTATTTGTTGCTATAAAATGAAGGGCAGACCACAGTAAAGATGTCACTTCGGGAGATATGGGAACTATGAATGTTGTTTCCAATATAATTAAGAAACAAATAGAAGTTATCATGATAAATATGTGAAGTTTACAGATTCTTAGTCCGTGAATCCTGCACATTAGTATATTATTTTGTTTCTTTGAAATAGCTCATGAGTTTTTCTCAGCATTTTAACATGAATCCTAAAAAAAAAGAAAAGCATTTTAAATGACCTAAGGAAGTGCCTTGTTCAGAATACACAGTCAGAAATTCACAGTACTCTCCTGCCATTCTTGGACCCTTTCAGAATTAGCACAGTGTTCGTCCCTGGCATTCAGATGGTGTTCCTCACTATGCTATTCTCTCATTTTAATGTCACTTCTTTGGTAGCTTCTAGCAGTTAATTCAGTGGTCATTGTGCAAAGCTTTAAAGTTTATAATACCCAGAAGTTTATTTGATACCAGATAATCAAATTAAAACCATATCTTTTAGGCTCCCCACCCCACCACAGAGAGGCCTGTGTACTTTCTTGAACATGTATTTCTGTTTCTTCTCACATCTCTCTAAATTTCAATAAGAATTACTTTGCTTCACACACAAAAAAACTATCTTTTAATATCAGGAATATTTAAAAGCTACCATTAATTTTGTTTGCTTTTAGTCACAAGAGTTCATTTAAAATTTTTAATATAGCATTAAAAGAAGAATAATGCCCATCAAATAAAGGATGGGCTGAAAACTTTAGAGATAAATAGAAGTCAGAAAGAAAGACATGACATGGATCAGTTTTAGGAAATTGCTTTTCTGTACTTCAACTTATAATTTATCAAAGTGGAAAATGAACTGGGTTTCTGGTTCAAGATACAGAAAATCATTCTTAGGGGTATAGAGACATAGTTCTTTTTAATTTTTTTTTTGTTTTGTTTTCGGGCCACATCTGGCAGTTCTTACTTCAGACTCTGGGCTCTGGGATCATTCCTGATGGGGCTCAGGGGACCCTGTGGGGTGCCAATAATCAAATCCTGGTTGGCTATGTATGAAGCAAGCACCTTCCCACTGCTCTGTCTCTCTGGCCTTCAAGAATGATAAGGCTTTTTCTCTTTTGAAGGTGTTCTGGCATTGATTTGATGCATAACCTTCAGAACACATACAAAACCATTGTAGTGTACACTTGGGGTAGGGGGAATTTTATGGCATGTGAATTATAACTATTATTAGAAATGCTTATTTCTAGCATTAATAAGTAGAGCTGTAACAAAACCTTAAATATGTATGTGGATTTGGAATAGAACAGTGAATAGAAGTTGGAAGGTTTTTGAAGAGAATGTTAGTCAAAGTTTAGAGAACTTGAAGGAGCTGTATGGAAGTTTGCTGACCTATCAGAAGTCTTCACGGTCCCGGTCCCGGTCCTCCCATTGTTCATCGATTTGCTTGAGCGGGCCCAGTAATGTCTCCATTGGAGACTTTGTTGTTACTGTGTTTGGTGTATCAGTACGTCACGGGTAGCTTGCCAGGCTCTGCCATGTGGGTGAGATACTCTCGGTAGCTTGCCGGGCTCTTCGAGAGGGGCAGAGGAATCGAACTCGGGTCGGCCATGTTGACTGCGTGCAAGGCAAACGCCCTACCCACTGTGCTATCGCTCCAGCCCATCAGAAGTCTTAAAGGAGGCTAAAGTAAGTTTTTATTATTTTGTTTTGTTTTGGGGCCACGCCTGGTGATGCCCAGGAGTTACTTCAGGCTCTGTGCTCAGGAATTACTCCTGGCGGTGTTTGGGAGACCATATGGAATACCAGGGATCGAACCCAGTCAGCTGCATGCAAGGCAAGTGTCTAATCCACTATATTATCTCTCTCACCCAACTAAGGTGAATTTTATTGAAAGCTAGAGGAAAGGCTGTCCTTGAAGTGGTAGAAAGTTTAGCAGTAGCAGTGCCTGCATTAACCCAGAAGGTAGAAAATATGCCAATGAACTAGATGAGGAGGTTTCCAGTGTTCCAGTACATTGTAGCAGCACACTACTGAACTAAACTGTATTTACTAGTCAAGGAAGGGATGTTAAGGGGGGCTGGAGCGATAGTACAGTGGGTTGGGCGTTTGCCTTGCACATGGTGGACCTGGGTTCATTCAGTTCCCAGCATCCCATTTGGTCCCCTGAGCACTGCCAGGAGTAATTCCTGAGTGCAAAGCCAGGAGTAACCCCTGTGCATCATTGGGTGTGACCCAAAAAGCCCCCCCCCCAAAAAAAAAGAGAGAGATGGTAAGGAAGGACTGGACATGGACACGGTCCTCCAGTTGTTCATCGATTTGCTTGAGCGGGCCCAGTAACGTCTCCATTGTGAGACTTGTTGTTACTGTGTTTGGCATATTGAATACATCACGGGTAGCTTGCCAGGCTCTGCCGTGAGGGCGAGATACTCTCGGTAGCTTGCCGGGCTCTCCGAGAGGGGCGGAGGAATCGAACTCGGGTCGGCCATGTTGGCCGCTTGTAAGGCAAACGCCCTACTGCTGTGCTATCGCTCCAGCCCAAGGAAGGACTACTAAAATAAATCAATAATCAATGATTTATGAAAATCAGATGCTCCAGATGGCAACTAAAATGAACAAATGGTTTTAAGTCAAAGATAAAATATAGAGCACTTCTAAGAAAACCTGGTCTAAATATAAAGTGGAGGTATTACCAAGAAAGACCAGAAAGGACCAAGATACTAGCCTCAAAGGACTATTAATATGAATACCAGGGATATTTGTAGGAGACTCACAAAGTTTAAAACAGTTATATTGTCAGAAACACAAGATTGTAAGAAGGGGGAACTAAGAAAGCCCCTGAGTTCTCAAACTCCTGCAAGCAGAAAGCAGGCTAACAAGATGACTCAGCTTCAAATACAAACTAGTTCTCAGGAATTACAAAAAATAAAAACTAAGGGCCGGAGCCACAAGGCCTTGCACACAACCAACCCAGCTAACCCATATGGTCCTCAAAGCGCTTGTTAAGAGTGATTCCTGAGTGCAGAGCCAGGAGTAACCCCTGAGCATCTCTGGGTGTAGCCCAGGAACCCAGGGCCCAAATGACGAAACCAAGTGTCACAATTTCCAATTATTCCCAAAGCTGGACCAGCTGTGAAGGGGCTCCCAGTATGCATCCAATAAAAGATCAGAATTTCAGTGACTCTTGCATGCATTTCATTTCCTTTTTTTTTTTTTTTTGTCGTTTTTGGACCATCCTCTGGCAGTGCTCAGGGCTTATTCCTAGCTTTCCTGGAGGGGCTAGAAAGATGATATTGGGTGCCAGGGATCAAACCCAGGTCAGCCGCATGCAAGGCAAGAATCCTACCCACTGTACTATTGTTCTGGCCCCAGTTTCCTCCATTTTTGAGTAGGAGGAACTGCCAGTGATCTTTTATATTTCATGCCATCATATGCTGTATGTACAACGGGCAAACTTAGTAGTCTTCAGATCAGAGAAACTATACTTGTTGCTTAGCTTAAGGAAAGATGCTCAGTGTAATGCTCACCGAGATGTGAATAAGAGTAGACACGGGGCTTCAAGCTGATTCTATAATGGGATGACATTTCCAGAGAATTTAGGAGGATGAATTGCCGTGTGGAAAAGACATGAATCATTGGAATCAGCTTTCAAAATAATCCCTGATATCCTTGGAGCTTCTAATTTATGTCTCCTACAAGATACAATCCTTCAAGACAAGAGAATATAACAAATGCGTTGACATGTGTTTTCTGAGTCTAATATTATGAGACATTGATTTCTACTTTGCTCCCACAAGAGTGTGGTTGTGCTAACTCCTCCTCAGATCATTGCCCTGAAGGACTCCGAGTGCCATGACAGATACTCAGGCCATCCCTATAGCATCTTGTCATGGACTCTGACCATTGCTCCTGTGAGTGAGCCATTTTGGAGTCTCCACCTCTGGCAAAGCCTTTGGATGACTACAGCATCTTTGCCCAAATCCTCAGTGATTCCCAGGTGCAACCAACCAAGTTATTCCTGAATTCTTCAGCCTCCAAAGCCAGGAGACAGTAACTTCTTTTGAATTCCCAAATTGTATTTCTATTGTCACATACAAAAAATGATATTTAGATATGAGATTTTAGTATACACTTTCACAAAATGTATTTTATTAGAATTTTTTATTTCAATAGTTAACACTTTCTTCAAAAAGTAAAAACAATATGGTTACTTCCCTGAGTATAAAGAACTAAACCTACAACAATACAGTTACAAAATTAAGCAATTAGAGGTACGGAATTCTCATCATTCAGTTACACTTAAAAATCTATTCTTAAAAATTTCATGTATTTTGGGACTTTAGTTAACATTCAACTCCCCTCCCTCCCCCTACTTATTCTGGCACCAAGATATTAAGGTATGTCTGATCTGTCTTTATCAAATTCCAGTGCAATCTTTAAAGCAGTGCTATTGAGGCCAACAGACTGCATGTTACATATGATAGAAACAACTGTTCCTCTTGGGGGAACCTTGTTATTTATAGCTTCAGTATCCAGTTCTTCAGGAAGGACCAGCAACACACTGCTAGCGCCCACTGCACCACCAGTATGTGAGGCATAATGCCGTTGCTTCCTGCAAGACCCATAGGTTTGCTTCTTTTCCACAACACCCCAGGCCATGGCATACTGCCCCTCTTTATCCCAAGACATCTCTGTGTTGGGGACAGGTGTCCAGATCATCACCATTGTTTCTGGCTTGAGATATCCTGGTAAAAGATTTTCGTTGGTATCCTTAAACAGCCCGACTTGGTAACCATAGAGCATTGCATTTCCAAATTTCAGAAGGTCACCCACTGTAGACAGAAATCCACCACCGGCCCATTTATAGGAGTTGTCCACATAAGGTGTGTTGACGAGACGTCTCTTTTTATTGTAAACATAGAATCTAAAATGAAATGAGAATCATTGAACACCAAGTCTACAGTTGACTTCACACAGAAATGAACAGGAAAAGGTGTGCATGAGACAGACTGTATTTCATGGAAGTGATCAGACATTCTCAGAAACCACTGATTTCCAGTATAATTTAGATCCTAATGAAAAACACAAATAAAGGAGAAAGCTTGTCTAATGACCTTATATGAATCAAAGTACAAAAAGAGGATTATTTATGTCTTGACCGTGTTCAGTGATTCAGACTTTCAATGCATGCAAAAATACTATCATTTGGTAGATATTTCTAGTCCTTATGCTTGATGAAGCATGTGAAAGTTATAAGTAAAAGGGCATACAATCTATAGAATTTCAATTTGTACATCGAGATGTATATAAATAACATTAATATTTATAAGGAGATCAGATCCCTTGACTAAAAAATAATTAGGAATGCCATATAAATGATGTAATACACATGGTACTTTCTTGGAAGGAGAAGCTGGAATTAGCAAAACCTCACTCTGAACCCCAACTCTATCTTTGATGGCTATGCTTACTTTATTTGATAAGCATTTTTTCAGTTCTTACTATGAACTGGGCATAGATCTTATTTGAATAATTTATGCCTGTAAAGTGTTAGGAGTATGTAGTATTTCAAAGAAGGGGAAACTGAGGCACACTGGCTTCCCTATTCTATGCAGCTCCTCTGTATCAGCATCCGAATTTGTAAACTGCAGACAAAAAGATGTACTTGGAAGACTTAAAAATCTATGTATAAAACACTATATTTCTGGCAGACACTTAACAAATGAGAATTGTTATTTATGCAGACATTCGACAAATACTGCTGGAGCACTTGCTATGTACTGGGCCTTGGTTAGATGTGGGATACAAAGTGTTAAGATGGTGTCTGACTTCTTGAGGCCTCTATCTGAGTATGAGATTGTACCGTAAGTCTTAGGACAGTGAACTGAAATCATGGAGTAAATGAAAAATGGTAAGGCCCCTGAGGACCGGTCTTTAAACATCTGTCATAAAACAGCTCTGAGGCCTTGCTGCATTCACTGCCAAAACAGTGCTCACCAAGGCGAGGCTGGGGAGCAACGTCAGTCAGTGTGTCTGAAGCAAGGGCTGCAGAGTGACCGCTGGTGACAGGAGAGGGGACAGGTCATGAAGGACCTTCTGTGTCACTCCGGTCATTTTTGACTCCACCTTGCTTGACATAAAGCTCTCAGTTCTCGAGGTACTCAGGGATGTATTTTCAATATTTTGATCCTGATTTCAGCGACCAGCAGTGTTTCCTCTCACTGATGGCCAGCTGTGCCTGCATATAACATGCAGCTTCCTGCAGCCTTTCAGGGTTTCACTCGCTCCTCTTCCTCCATCAGCATGGAGCTCTCTGGGCTGGCAGGGGCCTTCGGATTTCCTATGCACAATCTTCTGTGCGTCTCCTTATGAATTGCTGACCAGCTCACACAGGGCTCCTTTCCCATACCATTCTGCTCTAAGTATGATCCAGTGTATGATCCTGGGGTCCCTGATACACCGCTGCCACCAGGAGCTCCAGTTTGTCTTCCCTCCCCAAAGACAGCCTCGTAGCTGTACAGCTCCTCCAGCTCCAGGTAAATAACTGGATTCTCCACTGACATGAATGATTTTCAAATGTGGCGTTAGAAAAACAAGAAAGCCACTGATCAGCCATCTCTGACTCTTCCTCCCCAAGCTACGCCCTCCCTTCAAAACTCACCACCTTAGGCTGGTGAGCTAGTACAGTGGGTAGGGCACTTGCCTTGCCTGTGGCCAACTTAGGTTCGATCCCAGGTACCCCATATGGCCACCCAAGCACTACCAGGATGACCCCTGACCGCAGACCAAAAGTCGTTCCTGAGTACCACCATGTGTGATCCCCAAACAAAATAACAACAACAAAAACCTTACAGTCTTGGAGGGGAGGTGGGTATATGAAGTTTGGGGGGAAAAAAAAGAAGACCCCTTTATTTCCCAAAACTGTCCACGTCTCAAGTGTCCAATATGTAAGATTCTGGTTAAATAAGGCTGGTCTGTGTGGGGAGATAGACACAGATACCCTGTGTCACCCAGGGTAAATGCCTGTTTATGAGTGAGCTGAGTTTGATCCCTGCATGGTACCCCTTCCCAGCACAAGGGGTCCCGGCGGCACTACTTGCCTGAGCACTGAACTGTCAGGCCCCAGAGGACAAGTATTGCCAGGAGTGGCTCCCACGCCCCTGAGCACTGCTTGTGAGTCATCATTAAGTGCTCTGATAAGTTTTTAGAAGCTGGAACTTCATCTGTTGTTCCGAAAAACAATGACTTCGTATGTGGCTGTCTCATGCGTCAAAATAACCTGTCTAAAATAAATCTCCCCAAAGCGTCCCCTGTCCCTGCTCTCCGTATAAACCTAGTTGAACTCTTGTGTCCTTGACATTCACATCCAGTAACACACTTGGTCAACCCTGGCGGTTCCCTTCCAGACCTAGAACTATTCCAGTCTTCCTAGACTCTGACTACATTTGTAATTCCAGTCAATTTAACACAGAGAAGCTCTGAACAGAATTGCATTTTCTCACCAAGACAGCTATTTATTATAATGATCTCCATGCTTGTAAACTTAGGAGAGAATGAGGCTACCAGGTTCAATTCCTGGCAACAGTACATCCAGGCACCCACCCAAGTAAAATTCTAGACTTTAATCTTGAATGTTTTTTGTTTTATTTTGTTTTGCTTTAGAGGTCATACATTGCAGTGCTCAAGGGACCACATGAGATTCCAGGGATTGAACCCATGTCCAAAGCATGTATGGCAAATACCCTACCCCCTGTGCCATCACTCGGACCAAGAATCTAAACTTCATTATTTTGTGATGCTAGGACTAAGCCCAAAGGCTTCCATATGAGAGGCAGGTCTCTTCCAATGAACCACTCTCCTGACCCCAAGGACTCCAAACTTTAAAAGAGTTTAAAACATTAAACTTTAATTAAAATGTAGATTAAAGTCTACATTTTAATCTCTTGGCTCCTTCTCACAGAAGACAAATCAATAGCTTTTTATGAAAATGATTTTGTTCAACTGGATGATAAATTCCACTACTGCAAAAATGTCAGAAATTTCTGCTCTAAAAATAAAGGAACATAGAAACAAGGTCATGAATAAGTAATCAGAAAAACTCTGGGGCTGAAACTGGAATAATATCCATAACAAGTCTATTCCTATTTAATCTCTACATTATGCATAAAAACATTATATAATCACAGAGATCTACATCTCCAAACTTTGAAACTTAAAATACTTTCATTTTAAAACTAATTCATATATACCTCCAGAAGTAATTATATGCCACTTGGTGCTTTATTTTTGTAATGGGTTTAAAGCAAACAGAATTTAAAATGTGTATATGAAAACCATTCCATTTCAACATTTGCCTTTAACAGTAAGTCTGTCAGCTAAAATTATAAAAAGAACTTCATGAGGAACAATGCTTAATGCTAGAAAATAAGGCCAGAAATATTAAGCTAATAATGAAGGTAATGGCTATGTCTACACTGCCAACTGCCAACATAGAGCAAGCACTTTAGTTAACATTTGTTTTGGGTCCTGTCAATGATAGCGGAGATTTTTGTTTCAAGCAGTTCCAAACATATAAACAAATATGAACATAACAATAAGCTGATATATTTGCTCAGGATTTCCCTTATCAACAATAAACCACATCTTTCAGGGGCAAGAGTATCCACTTCCCTCCCTTGTTGGCTTTAAAGAATAGTCAGTTCATTTACTAGCTTCTACAGAATGCATATGCTACACAGAATCAAATATAAACTACTGGCCTATCTAGAATCAATGTTCCTGTTCTTCCATTTAAGAAAAGCCCAATTTTGGGGTTAGAGAGATAGTATAATGGGGAGGGCGTATGACTTGCATGTGGCTTACCCTGGTTTGATCCCTAGCACCTAAGCCCTCTAGGAATGATCCCTGAGTACAGAGCCAGGAGTAAGCACAGCCAGGTGGGGCCAAAAACAATAAAGAAAATAAAAAAGAAAATCCCAATTTTATTTTGGAGGACAGTGTACCTGGCTCAAAAACCAATTCCCCTGCATTCCTTGCAGCTAAGTGCAGTCTATGGGTAAAAAGGATTCTAGCCAAAGGAATGAGGTACTATTTGTAGCGCAAAACTGGGAAAATAAACAGGTGAGAGATGTCGGGAGCACTATTTTACACAGAAACAGATGGAGACAATATTTACTCGGCATACAATAACTCTCAAAAGTCATGGTCAATATAGTATAAGCAAATTTAGTTTATGGGTGCCAGTAAACAAAATGTAAACAAGTAAAACGTTAACTAGACATACATGATGCATGACTGACGAACAAATTATAGATGCTCAAGGCAGGTGCAACCTGGAATAGTTATCAATGTCTTAAATTATTATTATTTTCATTGAAGGATCATAAAGGGCTACTTTATAAATACATTTCTTTCCTTTCCTACAGATAGAAAAACAGACATTTAGAAAAGGTGCCCATAGGTGGTAAGTTGATTTTGGACTGAGACAAAGGAAAAATTGACTTTTAATTGACAACACGGTGTTAAAATGTAACACATGGCAGTATTCATTTACCTTGCTCTATTGTAAATCACTGGCTCATTTTCTTCCTGCACAGTTGTCAGCATATCCAAGTCATGGAATATTTTCTGCATATAGTCCAGATACTTATATCCTGAAGCTCTTTCTACTATGGCTGCCAGTAGGGTATAGCCAAAAGTTGAATACAAAAACTGACTACCTTGAGACATCATTACAAGAGAGGGGAAAAAAAAGCTTTATTATCATTTAAAAACATGTTGATTTATTGTCCCACTGAAAATTTCCTCAAACTGGGATAATTTCAAAGTTTAGAAGATACTATGTTAATGATATGCTAACACATTTTGTCAATTTTGTAATGATCCGGCTTACTTCATGTTTCAAACACAATAAAAGAATTCACATACTTAAAACTTCCTTTATGCAAGGGTTGGAGAAATAGTATGGTGGGTAAGACACTTGCCTTACATGTGACTGACCTGGGTTCAATCCCTGGTACCCCCAAGTATCGCCAGGAGTGATCCCTGAGCACAGAGCCAGAAGTAAGCTCTGAGAACTGCTAGGTCTAGCCCGAAACCAAAAATTTCACCTGAATATACTCCATTCTATGATAATCCAACAAGCAAATAAGTCCAACTTTAACATAATGGAAAACAATTCAAACTAGATTAAAAAAACACATTTGGTTTCTAGAGATAACTATTTGGTTCTCAATATACCTACCATCCATTGCTAGTCAGAGACAGGGTGGGATGGGGGGGATGGGGGGTGGGAGGGATACTGGGATCCGTGGTGGTGGGAAATGGGCACTGGTGGAGGGATGGGTGTTTGATCATTGTATAACTGAAACCCAAGCACAAAAATGTGCAAGTTTGCAACTGTACCTCATGATGTCTCACTATTAAAAAAATTTTATAATAAAAAAAATACAGATGTTCTAGTGAAATATATGTATAGGTTAAGGCCTTATTTCCTATATATATTAAAACATAAATGAAACATATTGTTTCAAATACATACGATCATATTTTGGATTCTGTAAATGCTATCGTATGATCTATATTAAAATGAGGTGGGCTGTTCATTACTTTTCACATTGGGCCCTACCCAGTGGTGCTGGGTGTTAGCCAAAGTCACTCCCAGTAGACCTGAGAGTTTGCTCAGCTCAGAGCATTCGCATGACAGGCAGCTTCCTTGCCATTTGATCTACCTCCATGGCCCCAGGAACCTGAATTTTTTCTTTTTATGCTTTTGGGCTACACCTGGTACTGCTCAGAGCTTATTCCTTGCTCTGCACTCAGGGATCATTCCTGGCTGGGCTAAGGGATCATCTGGGGTGCCAGTCAGGTACATGCAAGGCAAGTGTCCTATCTATTGTACTATCACTTCAGCCCCAGAAACTTACTTTTTTCCCAAGGATGTTTGTGTGTGTGTGGGGGGGGGGGGAAGGTGGGCACACTCAGGAATTTTCTAGGGTTACTCCTGGTTCTGCATACAGGAATTACTCCTGGGGGGCTGAGGGGACTATATGTGGTACTGAGGATCAAACCCAGGCTGGCTACATGCAAAGCAAGTGCCTGCAATTTGTATGATCTCTCCAATCCCAGAATCTTAATTTCTAATTAAGAATCTAGTTGTTTGTTTTGTTTTTAAGGTTTTTGAAAAACAACTGGTGATACTCAAGGGTTACTCCTGGCTCTGTGCTCAGGAATTACTCCTTGTGAGCTTGTGGAACCATATAGGATGCTGGGGATTTATTTATTTAATTAAAAAATTTTAATTGATTAATTTATTTTGCTTTTTCGGTCACACCTGGAAATGCACAGGTGTTACTTCTGGTTCTGCACTCAGGAATTACCCCTGGCAGTGCTCAGAGGACCATATGAGATGCTGGGAATCGAACTCGGGTCAGCTGCATGCAAGGCAAATGCCATACCTGCTGTGCTATTGCTCCAGCCCAGATGCTGGGGATTTAACCTGGGTCAGCTACATGCAAAGCAAGCACCCTATCCATTTGTTCTATCTCTCTTGCCCCAAAATTCAGTTATATTTTTTGCCCCTATAGAATATCAATTTTGTAGTAGACCTCTAAAACAAAAATTGACTCAAAGTGCATAAACACGGTTAGCTTAGAGGTATCAAACACTTTCATTAGGTTTCACAAAGAAGAATTAATTTTTATAGAACTTTTGGAAAAATAAAATTAAGTTGATGAATCTAAAGTTTTCTTTTTTTTTTTTTTCTGGGACAGTGGTTCCTTGGGGGCCTCAGGCTGTGGTTCTACGAAAAGTCGAGGGGGCGATGCTGCTCAAGCCTTGTAGTGTTGGGGTCCTCCAGGGCTTGATATGCTGGGCACCATGTGGTGCTGAGCATGCATACACCCTCTCTGTTGCACTAGCTCCAGCCCATAATGCTGCTTCTTCTTTTTTTAAAATAGCTTTTGGGTCACACCTGGCCGTGCCTGATCAGGGATCACTCCTGATCAGCTCAGAGGACCTGGAGGGCTGGGAATCAAACCTGGGTGGGCCATGTGCAATGCAAGAGCCCTATCCACTGTAGTATCACTGTGGCCCCTAAATTCTAACAAAATACTGAAATATTATCAGTACTCTATCAGGGCCATTCTGGTCAAGATTTCATTGAGCAAGCTACTACTCCAATGGTTCTCTAGTTTTCCACGAATATCTTGTTACTGCAAATGCACCAAATGACTGGTACCACCCCATGTGCACTCCCAAGGAGGCTAAATCTGAACACTCAGTGGCTGCTACAAACAGAACCATGAGTGCTAAATTGACAGCAAGATCCACAATCCCACGTGGGACAAACAACCACAGCAAATGCAGGCAGGACGTTATTATTTTGGATTTTCTGAAAAGTTAATACTTGAGTAATGATGACTTTCTAAGAAAAGGAATTAACACTCACCAGGTTTAAAGAACAGAGGGTCATTTTTAAATAGTCTTAGAGATTCAATTGAATTTTCAAACTTCTCTTTTAAATATAATTCGCCTTGTTCGAAGTCATTCTTTTTCTTAACAGGTTTTGGGTTCCGGCCCTTTGCCTCATTATCCTGCTCTGTCTTGGTTTTAGCAAGGTCACTCTTTTCACTACTTTTACTTCCTTTTTCTTTTAGCTCTCTGTCTTGGTCCGATTCCATGGTCTCTTTCATAATTTTCAAGGTTTTATAAGCTTTCTCCTCTTTCACTTTTTTCATGTCCTTTTCATAGTGACGAATTCCACTTAAATGAGAAATCAATAATCTTGTTGTGACAGAAACCTAATTGTAAAAATATAAAATTCCATTAAAACCATTTAACAAAAAGCAAGCTTAAAACAGGTCCTGCAACAATTTCCATTTAAAACTGCTGTTAAAAAGCACATTATATCAAGTCTCTAACTTCGCATTTTTAAAAAAAGGCCATCAAAGCTATTCAATTTTCATTTGGATTTTTATAAAAGAATAGATTAATCTGAAACAAGCCAAAGAGACTTATAAAACCTTTCAATAATTTAGCCAACCATTAGTAAAATAAGTGATTCATTTCATTACCTTTTCCCCTTCATACTCCTTTTCTGGGAATTCAGGGACATAATGTTGCACTGGCAAATCAAGATCCAGTTTCCCTGCTTCCCACAATTTGGCAAGCGCAACCATAGTGAGGCTTTTGCTGATACTGGCAATTCTCATAACGGTCTCTGGCTTGCAAGGCACACGATTCTCAACGTCTGCATAACCTAAACCTATGGGGGGAAGCAAAAAGTAACTTTTAAGCTTGATAGTCAAAAGGAGTCTTCAAAAATGAAAATACCTCTTTTGGGGGGCTTTGTTTGTGATGTGGGGCCAAATATGGAAATACCCAGGTTAACTCCTGGCTCTCTGCTCAGGTATCATGCTTGTGAGCCCCCAGGGATTCTATGGGGTACTAGGGACCAAACACAGGTCAGCCATGTAAAAGGCAAGCACCCCATCTATTTTCTTACAGCCTATCTATTTTATTTTCTTAGGAAACCCACCCCCTAAACTAAAATAGTACTTGAAAACATCTTAGACATTTTTGGACCAGAGAAGCAGTTGAGAGATTAATGTGTTTTCTTTGTATGCGGTCGGTCAATCCCAGTTCAATCCCCAGTTCCACTTTAGCAACACTGGGTGTGACCCCTGAGCAGAGGCCGGTGCAATCCCTGAGCACTGGTAAATTGAGTTTAAAACCTACCCCCACCTCATCAATTAGCAAAACACCCCCTGCATGTATCTAAAGAAGATATTCCACTTTTTTTTTTTGGTGGGAGGCGGGGAGGTGGGTCACACCGGTGGGCCTCAGGGTTTACTCCTGGCTTTGCTCAGGGATCACAGAGGTGATCAGAGGGGTTCAAGGAAACATATGTGGTGCTAGAAATCGAATCCAGGTTGGCTGCATATGAGGTGAGTGCCCTATCTGCTATATGATCACTTCGGTCTGTCCACTTTTATAAAATAACTTGACACATGAAATTCTTGGCAACACTAACAAGAGTAAATTTAGCAACCTGAAAGCTCACTGAACTATGCACCCCTGGGCATGCATTCATTTTACATCTGCGTCAGATATAGTTTTTCTTGGCACATCTGAACATGCTGGTTAATTCACCTTTTTAATAAAGAACACTCTATAAAGAAATTATCACTACTTATTTGAATATCAAATGTGATTTTTGAGAACTTTTACTCAATTTCTCAAAATAGTCATCCAATAAAAGTGAATGTAAAAAAAGTCCTGCAAATCCAACTTATCAAGAATTTACTTCAATTGAAATCCAGAAGAAAGACATCTTATTTAATACGCTTAACAGAAAACATTTCAAGTTTAGTTTTACCTTCTCACCAGCTAAAAGTATGAGAATCTGCACTATATAGAATTGAGATCTGAAAAGGGACTAGAGCTGTAGTACAGTTGGTAGGCCTTTAGCCTTGCACACAGCCGACCCAAGTTCCATCCCTGGCATCCCATATGGGCCCCCCAGCACTGCCAGGGGTAATTCCTGAGTGCAGTGCCAGGAGTAATCCCTGAGCATCGCTAGGTGTAGCCCCCAAACAAAAACAAAATGAAAAAAAAGTTCTGAGAAAATGGACAATAATTGGGAGGGGGGAATTTGGAGCAAGAGAAGTGCTCAGGAGCTATCCTGGCTCTGCTCGAAGGGTGCTCAGGGGACCATATATGGTGCTGGGAGTTCAAACCAGGGCCTTGGCCTTCACAACATATGCAAGGCAAGTGCCTATCTTCCTGTGCTATCTTTCATCGCCATCTTTTAAAAAAGTTTCCCTTCCCTCTGCTATTGTGGTTTTACCCAGTTGCACACTTGGTTGAGGTGTAACTTGGGGCCCGCACACAGTTCCAACTGACAATGCTTACACACTCATTTGTTTGGCAGTGCTCACTGGGAATTCCTTAGAGCTTGCAAACATGTTCTTGGGGGCTACAGTATGGACTGGATAGTGACAGTCTTTTACTTCTGGGGCATTTTAGTTTTAGTCCATGCAGACACGTGGCTGTGTGCTGGGGAAGAGACCACACACTGTGAGGTGCAGGGGTCCCTGAGATCAGGAATACATGATAGGACTTAGCCTGTGGGTGGCGCACTAGAGCTCAAACTCAGACCCTTGCTGGCAAGACAGGTGCTTACTGAACCAAGGAGACACCCCCAGACCATTGTTTTACACCCCCAGTAATTGTTTTACAGTTGACCACTATTTGTGTGAAAACAAAGCCCTCACTTGTAAAGCTGATATATTCCTTGTGGTTTCAATACTTCCCAGGAATTAGATATATTCTTTAGGTTATACTTACATTGGGGGGAAGGTTCATTTGTCTTTAAATCTAAAATCCTACATTCTGATCAAACTCTCCTAAAAGGACCACTTCTGTGAAATGATGTCTGAAACAACATTTCAAAAGAAATTTCAATGCCTCAAATCTGGGATTTATTGGACCCATTTGTATGCAATAACAAGTAACCAGTTTGTCAAATATGCTTTGGTGAAAGCACCATAAAACACTTACACTGCTCCCTCCCAAAGTTTCTAGCTTTTTATTAAAATTTTAAAAAGGTAGTTAATAACTGCCTATTTAAAGACAAGGTAGATCCATTATGAAAAGTAGGTAATTGTGTACAGACCCAGTACTCAATACAGTGCATTTTACAGACCAGGAAACTCAATAAAATTGGTGGCTGAATTTAAAAAGAAAAGAGAAACTCTACAGGCCAGGAATAGGGCTCAAGGGCAGAGAACCGTCATTCTCCTCTACCTGAGGCAAGAACAGCAACCACACACAGGATGTGGCTCCTATCAGTTTTAGAAAAGGAAATTTCTTACGTTTCACCCAGTCAAAGGGACCAAAAAATAAGCAAGTCACCTGGCGCCTACACTATTATCCACAACTTTCCAAACAATAAACCTTTGTCCTAATGGAAAAGTGGAGAAGAATCGAGCCAGATGTCGCTGTTCACGGAAAACCCGATTCTCCATTCTGCTGGAAGCTTTCGGTACCGTATGAAAGGCTTTCAGCAAATCCAGCAGCGTTTCATGGGGTTCACACTCAGTGGTGAACGCCAAGATTTCCTCCCAGCTGGCGCAAAACAAGCTGTCAAACACTTCTCTGAGCCCACCTTCTGACCAGACTTCTTTGCCATCTACTGAGACGCCCACCACGATTCCTGGTGCGCCCACCTCATCCTAAAAGAGGAAAGGAACAGTTCAGACTTCCAGTGCTGGACGTGGGCCAGCCTATCCCCTGGGGCTTTCCCGGGCTCCGCCCTCAAGCCGACAAGCCCCGCCCACCCCAAGCCCCATCCTCCCAGATTCCTTGTCCCGCCCTCAAGCCCCGCCCCCTCAAGCCCCGCCCCGAGCCTCGGCCTCCCGGCGCGCGCGCCTCGGGGGTGTGCCCAGCTGGCTGAGCAAGGGGGAAGGGGCGGTCCCGTGGCGGGCGGTGACCTCCTCCCCGATTTGGGTAATCCCCAAGAACATCTGACTGGGGCCCGGCGGTCAGGAAATGGGAAGTCTTTCTCGGAAGCAGGCGTGGGGTGGGGTCCGCTCGGGCTCGGAAAACGGCCACTCCGGTGGGCCCCACACTCCGGGGGACGCCGGGGCTGGCGCGCACGGTTCCCGGCCGCCTACGTCCCCCCCACCCCGCGCCTCGTCGCACCTTGATCCTGTGCAGCAGGTCGCGGCTGCTGTCGATGGCTCTGGCGAAGCGCCCGGAGGGGCGCGGCGCCGGGGCCTGCGGAGACCACGGGGCGAGGGGCTGCTCGGGAGGCAGCGGCGGCGGCTCGGCCTGCGGCGACGCCTCGGGGTCGGGAGGCGCGGGCACGGCGCCCCTCAACCCGCCGGCCAATTTGGCCCCCAGCGCCAGCCCCAGGCCCAGTCCCAGGCCCCCCGCCAGGCCAGGACCGAACGGCAGTCGTCGGGCGCTCTGGTGCGCTCCGCGCCGCCCGCCGGCCCAGGCGCGGCCCACGGGGTTCGGGGGCCGGACGGTCACGACCCGCAGGAACCGGTGCATGGCGTCTCCGCAGAGCCGGCAGCTTCGGAGCCGGGAGGCCGGAGGGCGGTGCCGGCAGGAGGACGCGGGCGGCCGACCGGGACGGAGCCAGCGCCGGGAGGGGGCGGAGCTTGATCCTGGAGGGGGCGGGAAGCGGGCGGGAGCGGCCGGGAGGAGGGCGGGGGCAGTTGAGGGGGCGGAGCCTGCACCGGGAGGAGGGCGGGGGCGACCTAGAAGGGCGTAATCGGCTCCGCGCAGAGGGCGGGGCGACCGCGAGGGGCGGACCCTTCCCCGGGAGGAGGGCGGGTACGACCGTGCCGGGAGGAGAGAGGGGCGGCCAAAAGGGGCGGAGCCTGCACCGGGAGCGGGGAGAGGGGCGGAGCCTGCGCCGGGAGGAGGGCGGGGGCGGCGAGAGGGGCTGATCCCGCACCCGGAGAAGGGCACGGGGCGCCTGGACTGGCGGAGTCGGCACAGGCTGGAGAGCGCAGCCGTCCGAAGGTGGGGACCCGTCGGCGTCGGGAGGAGAGTGCAGGTGTTTGGATGTGGGCGGGTGTCATCGAACTCGTCTATTTCGGCCTCTTCCTCTCGCTCCATCCCGAGTATCACTTCCTCCGAGGGAGCCTTCCCAGTCCCCTCCCCATCGCAGTTCTGCCGCCCCTTCTGGACCCCGGTACGCATGCCCCTCGATGACGAGACCAGTTTCTTCCAGTTGCAAGTTCCAGATCGCAAGTGGCCACCTGACATCTATGCGGGGCCTAGGCTTGCACGCATGGACCCCCAGGAGTAAGCTCTAGACACAGCTGACCCCACCTCGCCCCGCCCTCCCTCCCTGCCCTGCATAGCTGGGATATTTAAAGAATCCCCAAAACTCAGAGTGAAAAACCCAAACTATCATATTAGAACATCGCCAGAGATGCAAAAAAACATTTCATTGGAGAGATTTGTAGATGGCAAATAAACATGTGTACAGATGTCCAAAGCCATCTCTATTTAGCCATTTCTATTTCTATCCATCATGGAATAGTGCTAAATCTCTATTCACATGAAGACAGGTGACACTACCAGGGGCTGGCAAGGAGGCAGAGACTGGGTCACTCACACACACACACAGCTGGTAGGGACTCACAGGGTCACAGTCCCTAGAAAACTGTTTTAGCAGTTAGTTTCTCTAAGAACAGGCCTGGGAAAGCGCTTGTCTCACATGTTCCCCACCCTAGTTCAATCCCTTAAATTGCTCCAGGAGTGATCCCCGAGCACAGACCCTAGTGTAAGCTCTGCACATCTCCAGGTTTGGTCCCCAAACCAAAACCAAACAAAATTAAAAGCAATGAAACAACTATCATGTGATCAAAACTATGCAAGTCTAAGCACATAGCCCAGAGAAATGAGAACTTATATTCACACAAGACTGTACAGGTTTATTTCTAGATGCTTATTTATTACCGGCTCAAGTGGAAGCAATCCAGGTGTATTGCAAGGGACAAACGGCTAACACTCCTACCATATGCTACCGCTCAACATGAAAAAAGAGCAATTACTGATCCATGTGACAACCTAACTGCATCTCCAGAGAACTGTGGTAAGTGAAGCAGCTGTCTCTAAAAGGACTGGGGATGTAGTTTGGGGGTAGGATGCATGAGCCCTGGGTTCAGTCCTCAGCAACACATGCACAAAACCCCTCAAAGACTCTGTGTGATTCTATTTATGTAACAGTCCAGAGATGACAACATGACGTAAATGGAGAACAGATTAGTGTTTGCGTGGAACTAAGGAGGGCTAGGGATGGATATTGCTTTAAAAGTTCATCATGAAGGATCCTGCTGGAAATGGTGCCATTTGGTCTTAACTGTGTCAATGGCTGTGTGCTGGTAGTCACTTTGTATTCTGTGTCCTGTGGTTTGTAAAATAAAGCCATAGGGAAAAGGGGCCAAGCCTACACACAGATGCCTCTCTCCTCTTTCTTTGAACCTTTATATGCACACACACACACACACACACACACAGAGAGAGAGAGAGAGAGAGAGAGAGAGAGAGAGAGAGAGCTGGAAGTGGTGTCTAGACCTAAAGTCAGGACATTGACAGAACTTGGCAGAGGAAATTGTACCAGAAGCAATGAAATATTCCCTGGAAATCACATATTTTTAAGCTATATGTGGCCGAAAAGGGTAATATCACTTGCCCACATTTCAAGTTCCCTCAAGCAGGTTGGAAAGGGACTTGGCAGCAAAGCGGAGAACTTTCTCTGTTTATCCTTCAATGGAATGGACCTCTCAAATGTCCAATTAAGGTTGTTAACTCCCCCTTCTACAAGATCATTGTCGGTGATTTTAATGCCAAGATAGGACTGAGAAGATCAGCCGAAGAACTCCACATTGGGACCCATGGCCTACAATGGAACGAACAGGGTGAGAGACTGAGTTCATCATGTCGACAAAGACCGTCCATGGTAACTCACAGTTCCAGAAGGCTGAGTCTAAACGTTGGACATGGGAGTCTCTTGGTGGACAGTTCCACAATGAAATTGACCACATCATATTCAATCGATGGTTTTGCCTGACTGATGTTGCTGTTGTCCCAAAATTCCAAATGGGATCGGACTACCATCTCCTTCATGCAAAATTCTATTTCACGAAGCGGGAAGAAAGGATTGCAAAGTTTAAGAAGAAAACTCCCAGAACAACCACCAATTGGGAGCTCTTTGGCACTATTGCAGCAACATGAGAAGATGCCATCTTTGACGACTTTGATGAAGAATATGATAGACTGGTTCAGCACCTCTATGATTATGTGAGGAACGTAGAGAGAGAGAAAGCCACAAAAAGACGGCTGTATTCAAAAACTTTTGAGCTCATTCACCAACGTGGCTGGGCGTGAGCCTCAGGCAACCACAAGCTAATGTCCAAGCTCACGCAGTACAGAGAAGTGATAAAGGAAGACCTCAAAGAGAGAAGAGCAGCAGTGCTGGGAGATGCGGCAGAACCCAGGAAAAGAAGAAGGCCTTTGATTCTGTTGAGACTGAAGCGATCAACTCCCGCCTTTCCTTCGCCAACCACAAGACCAAGATGACTGCCCTCTGACGTCCTGATGGATCTATCACATCTTCCAGAAGGGCAATGGAGAAGATTATCCATGATTTCTACTTGGATCTCTTTGATAGTCACATACACCTGCCCACATACAAATTCCGCAGGATGGATATGTCATTCCCAATTCTCCCTTCTGAAATCTGACACGCCATTTTGTTGGTAAAGAGGTGAACAGCACCTGTCCCAGACAAGGTCAAACCCGAACACCTGAAGAACCTGCCGTCGGTACTCATCAATACACTGGCTTGGCTCTTCACATGCTACCTGTCTGAATGCAAAGTTCCATCCCAACTGAAAACCAGCAGAATCGTTCTACTGTACAAGAAGGGAGACATCCATGACATTGGCAACTATCACCCGTTCTGCCTGTTGCCCATTATCTACAAGCTGTTCACTCGAATCATCCTGAATAGGATTGGCAGAACACTAGATGAAGGACAAACATGTGAGCAAGCCAGGTTCCGAAAAGGATTCAGCACAATTGACCATATCCACACGGTAATCAAGCTCATTCAGGTTTCTCGGGAGTTCAAGATGTCGCTCTGTCTAACGTTCATTGATTTAAAGAAGGCCTTTGATTCTGTTGAGACTGAAGTGGTCATCTAAGCCCTAGCCAAAGAGGGCGTTCAAACTCAATACATCAGAATCCTCCGTGAGCTGTATTATGGATTCACTACCAGGATCTCACCATTCTACAAAGAAGTGATTATTGATATAAGTTGAGGGGTTCAGCAGCGTGATACCATTTCACTGGAACTCTTCTGTGCCAACCTCAAGAATGTCATGCGATGACTGAGAAGGAATGAGAGAAGATAGACTACACCACCTCCACTTTGCTGATGACATCGTTCTAATAATACCAAACATTAGCCAAGAGGCACAAATGCTGGCCAACATTGACCACGAGTGTGGAAAGATCAGACTGCAGCTGAATCTCACGAAGACAATGTTCATGAGAAACGGACTCTTTGCTGATGTTCCATTCACTCTCAATGGAATGAACATCTCTGAATGCAGCAGTTATGTGTACCTAGGTCAAGAACTCAACATGACGAATGATCTGGCACCTGAGTTGTGCAGGAGGAAGAGAGTGGCATGGAATGCCTTCAAAAGCGTCGAAGAAATAGCTAAGAGGACGAAGAACCTTCGGCTCCAGGCACATCTCTTCAACTCCACTATTCTTCCTGTATTAACATATGCCTCAGAGACCTGGGCCCTACAAAAACAGGATAAGAACACTATTTGGTTCTCCCAAAGAGGAATTGAAAGAGCTATGCTTGGAGTATTACATCACTCAAGTGAGAGAAGGAATCTGGAGTTCCAACCTCAGTCAATGATCAAGAATCAGGGATGCTGTCTCGTTTGCCAAGTCATCGAAAATCAGATGGGCTGGACGTGTAATGCAATTTGGAGATGACCGCTTTACTTGAGCTGTTACCAACTGGTTTCCACAGGACATCAAAAGAATGCATGGCTGCCCACCTACGAGATGGTCAGACTTCTTCATCAAGACCCTGAATGAATGGTTTGAGGCTCTTCGTGTTCCTGCAGTGAGCAGACGCCAAAGGGCTACACTAGCACACGACAGGGATGAATGGAGACATTACTGGCTCCTGCATGAGCAAATCGATGAGTAACGGGATGTCAAGTGATCAAATGATCAAGTGAACTGCCCCTCGGGGATAAGGCTAGACTTTCTGGACTCAGAAGCCTTGCCACTCTCTTGTCAATGGAGAAAATGTGGTTTGCTCCTTTGTGAAGTGTTTTTGGGGTTATTTCTCCTGACAAAAAGAGATTATCTCAATAGCTTGTCATATGCCTAACCACAGGAGCCTGAACTTTTTCCATTAGTAAAGAAAGCCTTAAAGCAGTTTGAGCATGGAATAACGAGAAATTCAGAGAACCAGAGGAAGAGGAGGGGAAGTATAAGACACTGTGTATTTGAAGCTT